CATTAATAATATTGGTAGAAAGTTTAATTAATTTATTTTTATTAATTTTACTTTTGTATTATATATATATATATATCTTTATTAGAAAGATTACATGTCTTGTTATTTTAGTATATGGATTGAAGACTAACTCAAGTCTGTTAAAATGGCCAAACCTCGTGAGATATCATTGGGATTACGGTCTAAGATATCCCTAATAGCGAGAGTATCCAAGTGGTCAAACAATGTATTCTAATCATTATAAGTAAGAACAGTATATTAACTTATATATATTCGTTACTGGATTGAATTTTGGATCTGATCTATACGGGTAGCTTGCGTTGATCAGACGTTAATATGCAAACATGTTATACTTTTAGATATGGTAATAATTTAAATTTAAAAAATGATTAAATTGTACAAATCAAACATTGTCCTTTAACTTCAAAAGTAGTTTATACACATGATATAACAAACTTAATATGTAACAACCTTTAAAAATGGGGTAGTTTAACTTTAATAATTCTCGTTTGATTCAGCAACGAATCGTGGAAGAAACACAGGTTTATATAATGATATTTTATTCATAAGTCTAAAATAGAGACCCCTCAGTGGCACAGTGGTATGTCTGCGGACTTATACCGCTAGAAACTGAGTTTCGATACCCGTTGTGTAGCTTTCTGCTTAATTACCAACAAACAAACAAATCCAAAATATAAATGCATGAATAATTATATATATATATATATTAATATTTTAATTAATATAAAATAAGAGAAGTAAACGGAACGGAAAACTGTTTCGAACTATTTAAGACTTCATTGAGAGTCCCTAAAGTGATCGTTTTTCTAACGTCTTCAGAGTATATTTGAACTTATTACAAAGTATAGTTTCGGCCACAATCTTTCTAATAATTTTGTCTATTTTGTAGATATTGGTGTTTAAAAGCGTTACATTTTATGATTTAAAGTATTGTGGTTTCTATGGGTAAAATACATTTCCATTGCAATGATGCATTCACAACGGTACAGAAAAGTTATGCGGTAAAGATGCTAATCAGATAAACTGAAAAAATTAAACGTGTTATATATATATATATCATATGGAGCATTTAGTAATATTCTGAGCTTCAGGCGTGTCTAGGTACTTTTATATAATAATAATAAGTTTTCCATGCTTGTAATAATATAAATACCAAAACCTGAGCCTGGGTTTAGGATACAAGTGTTATTGAATCATATACGGCTAGTCAGGCACATTATTTGACTTCCCTCTTTCTTATGTAATTCGAATTACATTTTTAAAGCTCTTATTACGTGAATTTTAGAACTATTTCTTTCGATATTTAAGCTTACATTAGGCTTTTCCGTGTTTACTTTATTAATTGTAGATTATAAGTTTTAAAATGTTAGTACGTGCGTGATATATATTGGTAGTTTTCCGTAAGTCATTTTAAAAAGTTTTCGTTTTCTTTTTACAGTTAAAAGTAATTGAGGTAACGGTAGTTAAAAGATTAATCATGATTTAGGTAAGTTTTCATCTCTCAAGGAAAAATGCAGACCCACAGTATTCGCTCAGGACAGGAGAAACAACAACGTTTCTCTTCCAGGTTCATGTTATCAAAATGTGCATAGAAATGCTAACAGTTTGTGTTACAATCGCTCGATCAGGGCAGGAGAAACAACAACGTTTCTCTTCCAGGTTCATGTTATCAAAATGTGCATAGAAATGCTAACAGTTTGTGTTACAATCGCTCGATCAGGGCAGGACAAACAACAACGTTTCTCTTCCAGGTCCATGTTATCAAAATGTGCATAGAAATGCTAATAGTTTGTGTTATAACTGTTCGATCAGGACAGGAGAAACAACAACGTTTCTCTTCCAGGTCCATGTTATCAAAATGTGTATAGAAATGCTGACAGTTTGTGTTACAATTGCTCGATCAGGGCAGGAGAAACAACAACGTTTCTCTTCCAGGTCTATGTTATCAAAATGTGTATAGAAATGCTGACAGTTTGTGTTACAATTGCTCGATCAGGGCAGGAGAAACAACAACGTTTCTCTTCCAGGTCCATGTTATCAAAATGTGTATAGAAATGCTAATAGTTTGTGTTATAACTGTTCGATCAGGACAGGAGAAACAACAACATTTCTCTTCCAGGACCATGTTATCAAAATGTGCATAGAAGTGCCAACAGTTTGTGTTACAATAGATCCACAACTTTGTTTAAGAGCTGAAACAAAAACTTTTATTTTTCATAATGCTTCCTTAACTTGAAATGATCGCAAAATTCTGTCGTTTAACGTTTCTCTTAAGCACAGCCAACATGATACTTGTTAGCAATGCCAGTGTGATACACCTTGATATCCCTGTTTGGGAGATATTTTCTTACTCTCTACGAAGTATTCATGTGAATGTTGAATAACATCCATTTTTATTGTTTGTGTTGAATATTGGTGGCGTAGTAAAGTGTCTTGTAAATATCAACAGTGTCGCACGAAACATCCGGGTCCTCTGAGGGAGATATTTGGTTATAATATTACTGGTAGAGTAGTAAAGAGTCTTGTAAATATCAATAGTGTCGCACGAAACGTCCGGGTCTTCTGAGGGGATATTTGATTATAATATTATTGGTGGATTAGTAAGGAGTTTTGTAAATATCAACAGTGTCGCACGAAACGTTCGGGTCCTCTGAGAGGGATATTTGGTTATAATATTATTGGTGGAGTAGTAAGGAGTTTTGTAAGTATCTACAGTGTCGCACGAAACGTTCAGGTCCTCTGACGGGAGTGGGGGGGAAGTATTTGGTTTTAATATTATTTCTCATTATTCTAAACACTGTTTCTGTGACATTTGCACAATACCTGTAAATACACAAAATAATATTGCCAATAACCTCAAGTCGTTTTTCCAGATTCGGTTACTTTCCGTTAACATAAATTTCAAACTAAATATTATTGCTACGGCATTCGCTTCCATTTACGTTTGCTGCAGTTGATTCCGAACGACATAACTGAAGAATGTAACAACCTGTTTCACTTGTATTTTAATCCCTTGAATTGGCGACATTATCCGTGTTGAGTCGTATTAGTGGAAAGGGGAGGAGGAGGGAAATAGCATATAAAATAAGGTGGGGACTATGTTGCGAGGGCACTGTGCCCCTGCTCCATCACTGTCTTCCGTTGTGAAGCCGTGAAGTTCGGCTTATGATGTATCTAGTTCTAGTGACGTTGCCCACGTATGATAGATTTCTCGCAATTCTTAGCGTTGTCTGCCCGTGGGTGAACAGAACAAAGCCACTGTATCCGGATTTGACCCCCCACTGATCACGGCATGTTCGCAGGTCATAAATTACTAGCTACTCAAACACTCAACAGACATATCAGGATGCCTAACATGAGATTGAAAACTAAGGTGTGCTCGACACTGTCTAACAGCTCTTTGGACAACTAATACTGATTGTTGGTCATAATGAAGTTTACTCTCACAGCATTCAGTTCTATTTTAACACATCATTAAATAATTGGGCAGTGAAGTATTAAAATAGCGTCATGGTTTTAAATTATTCGCGACATCCATGGTGATGATAAGTTAAAGACATTATGCTACGTTAGTAATTAACGTGAATTAGACTTTCGAGTCAAGTCGATATGTTATATACATATATCAATTCTCTTCCACGAAAATCACAATTATCACTTCTCCATTAAAATCATAATTAAAACACATTCCATCGGATGCATAGTTAACCTCTCCTGGACTGAAACTACAACTCTCATCTACTGAAACCACACTGGGCATTTTCTCCATAGATGGTGTATTTAATTTCACCTCATTATAACTATAACTAGCTTGTTTTTAAAAAAGACGTACTAAAATCTCCTTTACCGTAATCTTAATTAACCTCACCTTCTTTGAAACCCTAATTAGCTAATCTTTCATTCAAATCACATTTAACCTCTCTGCTGAAACCACTTTTAACCTCTTCTTCTGTGGATCCGTAGTCAGTATCCTGAAGTGAAACTATATAAACACCCAACAAACAACTTTGTAAACTGCTACTAGCATAATTCATTGTTTGATTAAAAGTCGATGCTATCATCATATTTATTTATACTGATTAATTAGCACGTAAAAAAATGACTAAATTTGGGCATTATCATGTTAGTGGTCAAGTTTAATTTAAATGGATGACCTCCTGCTACGCAAAAATACACCTACGACTTCTTTTTGCATGAGATATACACATAAAAAATAGAACTTAACAAAATAGTTTATAGAACGAATGACTGTATTTTGTTCGATATTTTACACCTTTTTTTTAGACATAAGTAGCAAACTCTTATTTTTTTCATCTGCCATAACTCATCCTAATTGATAGATTTTCGCACTTTTTAAAACTGATTACCATTATAAAACCTTTCAGTGAATATAAAAAATGATTAATCCGTTTCAACCACATCGGTCAATTGACTTGATGAATCTAAGAACTTTTAATATTAGCGATTTTTTTTTTTTTCATAGCATAAGATAACCAATATTTGAGTCAGTGAATATAAGCAATAGGACTTTTGTACGTCTCCCCCCTCGCCCCCTTCCAAACAAGTGACGTGAATAGACACCAATATTCATGCACGTGAACCACGTACCATCACGCGCTAGACACTCGGGTAGACAGTGATAAATGACATATCGCTGTCCTGGGATGCCTGGGCGCGGACCGAGTATAAAGCTCCATGTAGGGTAAGATCTGGCTCTCCAGTCACTGACACCGTCACAGAGAACGCGTGATCACCTAGGTGGGAATGAGGAGAAACGAGTATTAACTTTCTGATTGTGGCACAGTTTTTTCACTACCTCTCAGTCCTAAAAACACGTTAACAATTATAATCCCCTGCTGCGACAAAAACCGTATTTCCCCCCTGTATGCTCACCGGGAGAGACAAACCATTAACTAGCCGGCTTATGTGATTATTTATCATTCCTAGTAGATCGCTGATTGCGTTGTGGTGTGCAATAACTTCATGCGTTACGGCGGTGAAAAAGAACCAAAAAAAAAAGAAAAGAAGAACGCACGCCGCCTGCAGAAGTTCCACTTGGTCCTATCAGACAGCCCTTGCTATTGTCACCTTATGATAAATGGATATTTAATCAGAGATGTAATCATCCCTTTTGATTCCCACACTTAACTATACTATCTTTTTCTCCACCGCTCTTTTGCTTCTCTTTCAAAGAAAGTCGGCATATTTTCTTGGTTACGTCATGATCCAGTTTGCAACAATATACCAACAACTGAACTTTGCTGTCCTAGTTCTGAAAACAAGTTCTCCACGTTTGTACAAGACCTTCAGCTGTTTAGGTTTGAACATCAGTTTGATCGTATACATATATTTCTTTTAACGCTTTCCACTTTACATTAACTGTTTTATTATCGAAACAAATATGATCATTTCCTAATTCGAAATTTCAGTTTAAAAGGTGTTTTTTTTCAGGTTGTATAGAACAGCAGTAAAATATACAGTCGCTAAGCGTAATCTTAATATACAGTAGCTATGCGCAGCCTTATTCGGATTGAAATTCTGACATGATCTATTAATATATGTATTTTAAAGTATTTAATTTATAAAGTTTAACAGAAACTAGCCGCAAAAGGGAAACTCCATTACAAACGTATATTTAACATGTTTCAGATATAACTATTTAAGTGAAAACTATTTGATTTTGGAATAGGCGTATTTGACTTTTTTCTTTAACCTAAATGTTGTAATTACAAAACGATATTTATCAAACTGTCACAGCTACATATTTTAGGATTGTGTTTAATTAACAAGTTGCTAGATAAAGAAAAGTCATTTGACAGAAAATTTAAAACATTTAGTAAAAAATCTATTTTCAATGAGCCATTTTGTATGAACCGCATAAGGGTCTTTTATGTTAAAAAGCTTTTAAGTGGTCCGCACACCTCACCCACCCCTCTTTGACGCCCTCGCCCTTAGCCAAGATCTTATCACCAGCTCAGAATGGCAATCATCCAGTTAGGGGCACATCCTTTTAAACACAGGATAACGGACTACAGGTTTTGAACTACTCAGACTTACGTTACTAGAAACGAAGCTGGCGAAACTGTCAAAAGAAACAGTGGCTTATAATACTGCGTTAAGGTTTTAATATGTCCATAAGTGCATATATGGATATATAGAGCGAGAGAGAGTTTTTGTACAGTTTCCCCACATAATTTAAAATTACTTATTATCATTTACTGAATAAATACATATCTGTTTGTTTGTTTTTAAGTACCAACTTACACAATGGGATATCTGTGTTGTTCTAACCATGGGTATCGAAACCCTGTTTTCAACGTCACAAGCCTTTACACTTATCGCTGGGCCACTAGGGACGTTAAATACATGATTGGTTAAATCTAAGAACACGGTCTTGTTACTATTTATTACCAACAAATGGAAAAAGAAGTAATAACACATTTACTTAAGCGTGGTTGTCATTTTATTCGACTCCATGTTAAATAAACATTGTGAACAAAGCTTCATAATAGCAATGAAAATGCTGGTGTGAAACGCCAAGGGCTATTGGTAAAATCTAATAACGTTTGGGTTTTTTTTATAGTGGCATGTGAAATGTCTTAAGTATAAGCTCCTTAGTCATCTATGAAAATCTCTTCTATGTGCAACATTCCTATTGCACTTGGGATAATGAGCCTAGATCTTTATCACTTAAACCAGTATTTATTTTATAATTGTTTTAATATCAATATTGGATAAACTTGGTTTAAAATTTTGAGTGTGTTTTTAATTTATTTGCTAGTTTACTAACTGATAGATTAAAGCTTTTTGTTTATACATTTTAATATGTGTGATATATTTATGTTATTATTATATAAATTTATAACGTATATAATACTTAATATTAAAAAAAAATACTAAAGTTAAACACTATAAACAAAAAAATATATAATATATATATATGTGTGTATTCTTTTACAAAACCTGTACAGAATAATCTTATACAAACATAAAGCAAATTTTCTAGTGTTTCGTGACCAGTCAGCGGAGCTTGATGAAGCATGTATATCACGTAAGAAAGAATAAAATATTAGGCTTAGCTTCAGTTTCTACTTGTTCTGATGAAGTTAGTTGTCTACACACGTTAATTATACGTGTCTTTGCTGTAGCAAGCACTGTGTAGGTTGTGTAAAGGCTAGAGCAGTAACCTGCAGTCTGTCGACTTCACACAATGGTCAATCATTGGAGTTGTGATAAATTAGAGCTGAAATAAGACATCAGTTAGGCCTAGTTTTGTGTGGTTATCTAATCTATCTTCCCTACTTTATTTCCGATATTTACTTATTAAGTTTTCACATAGAAACACGAACTGGCAGAGATGGAAAAGAAGCTATCTAATGGTCAACGTTGATAGGTGACCACAATTTCCAGAGACAAATTAAACATCGATCTTCGGCTACGTGTAATGTGCTGGTCATCATCATGGAAGATTGTGTGAGATAATATTTCAACATGAATCTCGCGTGGCTCATAAGCTTAGGAGTGCCACTATAGGAGCAAACACTAAATCTGATTGCTTAGAATTTGACGCATGTCACTTATCTTTAAGAAACGAGCTTAAATCATGAGTACTAAAAGAATGTCGTGCGTTGGTGGAGTAAACAGAAACTAACTTTACCGTCGATAAGGAAAGTTGTCTTTGTTTTGTTTTTATTTTTATATAGACACAAAGCTACTACTGAACTACTGACCAAAAGAAACGCAGCCAGTCAGCAATATCTTACTGTAACTCTTATAACGCACTCACAGCTTATAGCATGACGAATATAATATGTATGGATTTCGAGCCCAACTCGCCATCTCTGAAGCTCCCCCCCACAGTGGTACAGTGGTATGTCTGCGGACTTACAACGCTAGAATCCTGGTTTCGATACCCGTGGTGGGTAGAGCACAGATAGCCCATTATGTCGCTTTGTGCTTAACTTCATACAAACAAACCATCTCTGGAATCCAAAGCTCTACCACAGTGCCAGCACACGCCCTCTTTACTTTTTTCATCAAAGTTATTTATGAAAATAATCATCTCCCTCTCTCTGAGAAATAAATAATCAAAGACTCAGAAGCATTGCAGAAAGGCATGACGTGTTTATACAAGCAGCTTCCTATGCTAGTCACTCGATATAATAGGGTACTTCCAGAATTTTAAAACTTAGTATTTTTAACTGATATATACCTAATTCGATACTAAAGGGATTTTAAAACTTGCTTTATTGGCCAATAGGTTGGATAAGGTGTTATTAAAAATTATAATTTTACTACGTCAAACGATTGGTATGATGAGGTACTATCAGAATTCCAGAAACGATATACATGACAGTGGATTATCATAATATATTTCGTATTAAATACACACAATAGTTAAAGCGATTGGTGTGATGATTGTTTGTAATTAAGCACAAAGCTACACAATGGGCTATCTGTACCCTGCCCACCATTGGTATCGAAACCCGGATTCTAGCGTTGTAAGTCGGCAGACATACCGCTGTGCCGCTAGGGGGGCATTGATGTGATGAGGTATTACCAGAATTCCAGAAACGCTATACATGACAGTGTACTATCATAATATATTTCGAATTAAAATACATACAATAATTAAAGCTTTAAGACAAGTTAGTTATATAAGAGTAAGATAGATAGATAGGTAGCACAATTTACGTTGAGATACATATTTACTTCGGACACAAAAGGTTCTTCGTACCTCCTGTAGGGGTCGCATCCATCTTCTTGACACGTTTAATCTTGACTATATAAGAAAGCTGTTTAGAATTAGGGTCCACACTAGTTCTGCTACTTAGTCGGAACGTTTGACATAAAAAAAGCAACATTGAGACAGGTGGCGTAGTGGAACTCCAAGAGTAGAATACTGCTTTGTCAAAAATGTAAATGTCGAAACAGATTAGTATTTTGAAACAGAACACATTCATTGTTTACTTACGTTAATATAAAAGACAGCTTAGATTGATATTATTGCAAGGTAAACGCACTTTGATGATTTGTAATTAGTATTAATATATATTACATGTAATCCTGTTAAGGCACACATGTTTGTAAGATACGATCAACATTAATATTCTGACAAGGTAGCGCAATTTATTGATTCTGTGCTCATATACGTACTTTACATTTAATCCCGGATAGGTACCACATGTGTCAAAATTAATAACTTTAAACTAAACTTTACGTTTTAGCTTTAAAGTAATGGTGCCAAAAATATTCTACTGAACATTTTCAGTAGCACGGTTAACCATAAGATTTAAGGAATATGGATTATTTGAAACTATTATCCTCTCCTCTTTTTTTCTTTTTTTAATTTCTGTTTTGTAAAGGCAAAGAGATGACACCAAAATAAGCTTATCGAGGACTGGACTTCTTGAAAACACACTTGTAAGAGAGATGACACCAAAATAAGCTTATCGAGGCCTGGACTTCTTGAAAACACACTTGTAAGATATAGTTTTATTGTTTGGTTATTTGTTTCTTTGAGTTTTTACCACAAAGCTGTACGATTGGCTATCAGTGCTGTGTCCATTGTAAAGGTCAAACCCCAGATTCGTTATATGTCTGGAGTACAGCTGGAGGTGATATACAACTCTATAATGAAGCTACACGTAGTAACTCCGTCTTTTTTTAATTAGCGAAATTAATTATATTCTCAGGAATATTTTTTGTTCTCTAGTCTTATAATAGTTAAAAAGAAAACGTCTGCCCTATTAAAGTTGAAAATGCAGGACAGAATGAGAAAATTAGGAGGTCAATATACTTAAGAATTACATATGATGATAATTAGAGATTGTGAATATCTTAAAACTGAGGTTAAAGAAGCAGTTAAAACATGAGTCCACATTTATTTTGAGTATGAGTATGAGTAATTATCAATAATACATAACATTATTTTAACCGTATATATTGTAAAATTTACTGGTGTTGATTTATTAAACGTAAGTATTCTGTTATTTAAAATGTAAATTCATTTAAGTTCCTCTTCACTAAAACTACCTAGAACAAGGTAGCTCTAATTCTTCTAAATTCAACAAAAAATACGATGTGATTTTAACTGCATCAAGAGAAGCTTCCAATGGCAACAAGAGGTTACTGAAGGCATCAAGAAAGGTTCCTTAAGACATCAAGACAGGCTTTTAAAGACATCCAGAGAAGCTTTCAAAGACAACAAGAGGCTACTGAAGGCCTCAAGAAAGGTTACTAGAGACAACAATACAGGCTTTCAAAGACACAAAGAAAGATTTCCAAAGACATTTAAGACATTGCTAAAGACATCAAAAGAGAATTCCAAAAACATTATAAGGCTGCTGAAGACATCAAGAAAATTTTCCAAAGACATCAAGAGGTTACTGAAAGCATTAAGAGGATTCTGAAGACATTTACTATACTGTGTATAACTGATGGAATTTACCTCTTGTAGTTGAATGATTAAGTGTTTTAGCAAAACATCGTTCATTTTTCGTAAGATTCTGTAAATCAATTTTTAACAGTATATCCACAACTGAAGATATCTTACATAAAAAGTGTAAAATAATCATATTAGTAAAGACATTTGAACAACAGTGAAGCGTTTATTTATTGTTATAGTCGTTTATTCATTGTAATATCCATTTATAAACGTTTGTTCCTGACAGTTACACACACATTTGAACGATCTTGGAAAACAAATCCTGATTGCTAAGCGAAATACACCTGGTGTTAATATTTTTAGCTAAATATAACTGATGGTGATATTTTCAGATCTAACTTATCTATTTCGCTAAATTTAACTACAAATGATATTGATATTTTCAAATGTACTTAGTCTATTTCGTTTATGTCTCTTTTAGCGAATGATATCTGTGGTCATTACACGCTGTCAGCATATTTTCTGATAAATTATGTTTGTTATGTTTCCAAATTAAAAATTTGAAGCTATTACAATCTAAGCATAATTTTACGTACCCGATCTTAACATACTTTTCTAACTTTCAATTGCCGTTACTTTGCTTATACATTACTGAACAGAAATCAATGGAAATTTCAATTGAAAATTACATTACATTTGTGTATCTGAGAGAAGCTGTAACATAAGATTAAAATCAGAAAATGTACGTTTTAAAGCATGTCGTTTAGTAGTACATTACACAGAATCGAGAGAGAACTATCTGCTTTTACTTGCTCGACCTTTCATCCGTAGGGCGTTATAACGTGATGTTCAATCCCTCTAGTCGTTGGTATACCAAACAAACCAAGGTCTAAGCTCGAGATCGTTTATTTAAAAATGATGTTCGGATAACTATAAGCAACTCAATTGAAACAAACATTCCGAAATCGGGGTTTTAATTTACAAAAAATAAATACGAAGCCCATTCTATCATTATATTCCCCACTTGTCACTAAGTTATACAAATTTCGGGGAATTCCACTCCTCATCAGGGGTTTTATCTACGATCGTTAGTATGGTACGTAATAATATTAGCAATGACTAATATTATTTAATGTTTCTACATACTGTACTCTGTCGATTTTCTTAGTGTTAAACATATTGGATTCTGTATATTACAAAATGTTGTCATATGTTCGCTATAAAATGTATGGATAACAATCATAATTCGCAACTTTAACTTATGTTTACGGTTAAAACATTTTGTACATTACAAACTCATTATCTGATATTCATATTTAATGCCCTTCGACTCGAAACATACGAATATATTTCAGAATTGTATAAGATAGGTGGCGACTATTGTTTCTGTATTGTGAAAAGCAACCCTTTTTACAGAATGTAGGAACAAAATAACAACTATAACACAGTGGTAGGGTTAAATATTCCCTGAAACATCAGGAAGAAAAAAGACAGTAGATGATAGAATAATGACCGTTTCTCTGGTCTAACAGCGAAGTTTGTTTCAACGTAGCTGAGATAACATGCAGGTGTTCAAAGAATTACAGAATCCAATGTAATTACACCAAAACCTACAGACGCGTAAGTATATCATTTCACACCCAGTAGCCTGGTATAACTTGATACTTTACCAATCAAACAACCGTGAAAAAACACTTAGGAACAAAGTAATAGTTCTATAATTAGCTATCTACTTTTCTATCTATTTTTCTCTATATTTTCAACTGTTTGTATTTCTAATATGTGTGCCCCCCCCCAGTGGCACAGCGGTATATCTGCGAGCTTATACCGCTAGAAATCGAGTTTCGATACCCGTTATGGGCAAAGCACAGATAGCCCTTTTTTGTAGCTTTGTGCATATCTCTTAAAACTCTCTTAATATTTTTTACAATAATTTGAAGATAACTTACCGATATGAAAATGACAGTTTCAGTCGTGTTACTCCAATATACCACGTCAGCACTTCCTCAACATAGCTACATTAACATGCTGAACTTTGGATTTTAATCAAACTAAAAATCTTAGTTCGTGCAAGTCTAAAAAATTATAGTGATGAAGAATCATAAAAAGTATAATTACTATTGAAAACTGAATGTTTGCCCATTAAACACTTTTACCTACATTCTTATATTCAATTGGAAGTAAGGAAAAAAACTATAGGTTAAAATCTATATAAAAACAATGAAATTACATCGAAATGTCCAAAGCTCTCACTCACCCCTTGGGCTTTGTTCAACAAACACCGTCTGAGGATATTCTGTATCACACATGTTTTATCAGTGAAGAATGAAATGAAAAATATCATTCATCTTATTAAAAAAACGAAGAAATAAACATCTATCAGAACAAGGTCATTAGAAAGAAAAAAAAGTCACCTTCCAAGAAATGTTTCTGAGCATAAATCTTTAAAAGTACTTACTTTCTGCACTGATGGCACTATCCTTCTTAGCTGTCATTGTAAAAGATAATTTCTCACGCTAATACACGTTCTTTGACATAGGAACAAGGTTCTAGATGTCACTCAAAGCGCAGAGAGTTGGTTAAAAAACTGTAGTTTTGTAACCCAAATACAGAAGTTCTTTTGACAATAGTGTTTTCCTTACTGATGTAAAGCTATCTTAGCTCTTCTTTCCTTTCAGACCTTGCTTAGAAAATAACTTTAATCGCTCAGGTTTACAATACCATCCCTCTTTGAACACTCGCTAAATGAGAGTCAAAGTTCACGAACGCGTCTCATTAATCAGAGAGGGGGGGGCCTAGCGGGTGGAGCAGGATAGAAAAGAAAACGGTGTAAGGTGGAAGGTTTAATTCGTTCTTTAACACCTTGATTGTCATGGATGGTGTGGAAATTCTGCGTTATTCAAAGTATGAATTCGTTCTGACTTGAGGACAAACTGAAAAATGAGTGAAGTGACGTTTAAAAGGTAAGATTTATAGCAACAATGTGTTCATCTGAAATTAAGTCAAAAGCATAATAATACTGAACTACAGGAGCTCAATTTTTACTGATTACTTAGCGTAATTATTAAAAAATAGTAACCTATATCAAATATATATAATCCAAATACAGAAGTTATTTTTACAACAGTGTTTGCTTTACTCACGTGAAACCATCCGAGCTTTTTTTTTCTTCAAGACCTTGTTTCGTATATATGATTCGTTGAGGTTCGAAATTAGTTCAGCGAGATTCAAATGAGATTGTTTTTTAATTACTCAAACATTTGTCAGTGGTATCCGATATTAACGAACTTCAGTGGAAGTGTACAATTACCGATGTTGAATTTCAAAAGTTTTCCTATAAGTACTTTCATTTCGGCTAAAGTGATTGTCTTGAACAAAAACCTTCTGAGAATAATGATTATATTTAATATTAATGGGAAGGACACTAAGAAATCCTTGAGTAAAGAGATACATCTTGTTCATCAACAAACTTCAAAGCTCACACGTTTACTGAGAATGGTGTCATGGGTGTCAAATTTTAAATGTTGTTAAACATACTTGTTCGAAAACGAAACGTCACAAACCATATGCAACAATAATCATATTGGTTTGATTCACGTCTTAAATCTTGTATGTGGTATCAAATGTATATTTATTCTGAAACAGGTCTCAAATGTAATGCCGAGTAAGTTAACTGTTTTTTATTTTTCAGAGAATAGTGTCATTGTTTGTAGTAGAACATTAACCTGACGTACTCGAATGTATTTACATAAATACTTAATACATGCAACCAGGAGACACAGGGCTGTACGTATAAGAAGAGTGTGGACGTTTAAATAAAAACAACAGGACACACAGCACTGTACCTATAAGAAGAGTGTTGATGTTTAGATAAAAACAACCAAGAGACACAGGGCTGTACTTATAAGAAGAGTGTGGACGTTTAAATAAAAACAACCAGGAGACACAGCGCTGTACCTAAAAGAAGAGTGTTGATGTTTAGATAAAAACAACCAGGAGACACAGGGCTGTACCTGTAAGAACAGTGTGGATGTTTAAATAAAGCACTGTACCTATAAGAAGAGTGTTGATGTTTAGATAAAAAACAACCAGGAGACACAGGGCTGTACCTATAAAAAGTCTGTGCATGCTTAAATACCTGTAATCAGGAGACACAGGGCTGTACCTGTAAGAACAGTGTGCATGTTTAAATAAAAACAACCAGGAGACACAGAGCTGTACTTGTAAGAAAATTTGGCATGTTTAAATACAAACAACCAGGAGACGCAAGAGGTACCCACAAAAGAACAGTGTGTTTAGCAGCATACAATCAGGAGACATGGGTACTGTACCCCTACGTAGATAGTGTTCGTGTTTAAATACAATAAACTGGTTAACAGGGGTTGTTACATCAATAATACAGTGTTTGATTTATAATGTTTTCCTAATTTTTTAATGCAAACCGTATGACACAAACTGTACCAACCATACATTATATATTGTACTAGGTGTATGGTAGATTTTGCCCCACTCTGTACATATACACAACCGGTCGACAGATGGGTGTTCCTACAAGAGGAAAGTGTATGTGAAAAGACCTTGGCAGCATTGAGCACCTAAAATTTTATATTACAAATATTGTATTTATGACTTCTTTTGTCAGGTTAGTCGTAGACATTAGAATGCCCGTTTTAACAAAATATAGAATTATACAATATAGAAGAGACAAACAAATTATAAAAATGTCCAAAAAGAAAACAATGCTCAGTATCGGTAGCCAGATTGACTTAAGACTTATGTCAATCCCTTGATATAACTAGAAAAAATACAAGAGTATAATAGCAAGGAAATACTGTAAGTCATAGGGTAATTATTACATTATGCACATGATAAAGACTATCTCAGAATAACGTAATAAATTACGTAAGTTGATTATGTAAATAGGTTGTTGCTGTTGATTTCAATACAGAGAAACAAACTGAGATTGATTTATCACACTAGAAGGAGTAACTTTTTCATTTCTTCACAGTCAGGTGGATCTATAAGGAATCTTAATTGCTGATTTTCAGTCTTTCAAGAAGTCTCGCCATCTTTCTAAAGATTTGTTTTGTTTGTTTCGGATATTCTTGCGAAGCTCTACGAGGACTATCTGCGCTAGCTGTCTTTAAGTTTGAACTGACAGTTAGCAACTACCGCTAATTCTTGGGCTACTCTAATCGAATGGTGAGA